GGATGTTGAGAGGTTAAACAGAATCGCATCCAATCTGTCCAAGTACGACCTGCTGGGAAGGTCCCTGCTTAATTTGTCTTTCCACTGCTCTGCTGATTGGCCCTTTGCCATACTTTAAAGTTAATTCTAACAGTCAAAATGTCTCTCTCTCTTTCACCCTCACTCCTTCTACACTGAGTAGAAGGTAAACAGTAGAAAGGATGAAGCGTGTTGCCTTCCAATTTGACAGTGAAAATGCTGACAATGACAAAGCAGCCCATTATTCAATCAAAGGAAATTTCTCATGCATTTAAATACTTTTAATTAACATGACAAAGTTTGCTTTTTCCATTTTGCTAAATGTGTGCAGCAGGCAAATAAAAAGCTTATTTGGTGAGGTAAACAATCATTTTAACAACTGATCTGTAGTTCTTTATCAGATAAGAAAAAAGAAAACAATAAATTAGCATCACAGTCACATTAACAAAGTGTGTATGAATTTTCTTGAGCTTTTGGCCATATCACAGATGAAGAACTCTTCCATTCTGATGAAACAGTTTATGTATATATGTTTTTCAGTTTGCACTTTATTTTTCTCTGAAGTAAAACTGAGCTCAAACTCTCTTTTACAAACGAAACTTTGCAGCCATAAAAACTAAAACATAAAAAGTGATCGCCTTAAATGCATCTGAATAGCTATAAAGAATTGATATGCTAAAAAAAAAAACTATAATGTAATGTAAGAAGCTACAGGACCGTGGAATATTGTTGGAAAATCTTATAAAAGGAATGAATCATATGTTTCTTCCAACTACAAAACGAGATGTCATCATAAATACTGATATAAAACATTGGCCTTTAAAGCTGAGTGAACAGCAATGAGTTGACTTCTTCAAACCTTAAACTTTATCTTGGTTTCCGAGAACGCTGTAATGAAATCCTTGTATTTTAGATACAAGATGAGTCATCGCTGCTTCACAAGCAGTTAATAAGTACATCAGGCACTCTGGGAATCAGATACACCAAGCACCTAATCATAAAGTGGAGGCTCATGACACCAATAAGTGTGAATTTATAAGTGTTCCCTCACTGACAAAGCCTCACGGTGTTCTATCAGAGGCTCCAAGTTAAATGAAGTCTGTGCTGCCATCTGCTGTTGATTTCTTCCTAAGCTCTTGAGTCCTATTGATGACACATGCAGAATAATCTTTTTCTCAAGTCAGTCAGTTTATTAATTACAGCTGAAAAATGGAACCGCAAAACTTAATTTTCACACCACATTCTAAAAAAACGGATTCTCCTGAAGCACCAAACGATTAGAATCAAACCTTTCCTGTTCAAACACACAGCCAATGAATTTAACAGCATATTGAGCAACATAAAACAACGTTCAGGACATTTAACTCCAGAAATTCAAAGCAAACAAAATCAGTCCTGCCACCCTCATGTCACCATTTCTGGCAAGTCTACAAAAACGCAGGGGTTACAAAATGAATATGACCTGCGTTTACTGACCACTTTGGAAGGTACACCTGTTTAACTGCTTGTTAGCACAAATATCTAGTCAACTAGTCACTTGTCAGCAACTCAACCTGATGAAATTCCAACTGAGCATCATAATAGGGACTAAAGATGATTTAAGTCACTTTGATATGTTTGCTGATGCCAGATAGGTCTGAGTACTTCAGAAACTCACATTCTGCTGGGATTTTCCCATACAGCCATCTCTAGGGTTTACAGAGACTGGTCCAAAAAAGAGAAAATATCCAGTGAACAGAAGTTCTCTGGGAACATGCCTTGCTGATGTCAGAGGTCAGATGAGAATGGCCAGAATGCCAGTAGCTCAAATAATTATTTGCTACAACCAAGGTATGGAGAAGATCGTCTCTGAACACACAGCACGTTGAACCTTGAGGACCACACTGGATGTCACTCCTTAAAACAGGAAACTGAGGTTGCAGTTCACAAAGGCTCACCAAGACTGGAAAATAGGAAGTTGGAAAAACATTGCCTGGTCTCAATCTTTTCTGCTGCAAACTTTGTATGGTAGGGTCAGAATATGGCATAAAAAATGTGAAAGCATGGATTCATCATAACCTGTATTAATAGTTTAAAGTGGTAGGTATACAGTGGGGCAAAAAAGTATTTAGTCAGCCACCGATTGTGCAAGTTCCCCCACTTAAAATGATGACATAGGTCAGTAATTTGCACCAGAGGTACACTTCAACTGTGAGAGACAGAATGTGAAAAAAAAAATCCATGAATTCACATGGTAGGATTTGTAAAGAATTTATTCGTAAATCAGGGTGGAAAATAAGTATTTGGTCACCTCAAACAAGGAAAATCTCTGGCTCTCACAGACCTGTAACGTCTTCTGTAAGAAGCTTTTCTGTCCCCCACTCGTTACCTGTATGAATGGCACCTGTTTGAACTCATCATCTGTATAAAAGACACCTGTCCACAGCCTCAAACAGTCAGACTCCAAACTCCGCCATGGCCAAGACCAAAGAGCTTTCGAAGGACACCAGGAAAAGTATTGTAGACCTGCACCAGACTGGGAAGAGTGAATCTACAATAGGCAAGCAGCCTGGTGTGAAAAAATCAACTGTGGGAGCAATCATCAGAAAATGGAAGACATACAAGACCACTGATAATATCCCACGATCTGGGGCTCCACGCAAGATCTCATCCCGTGGGGTCAAAATGATCATGAGAACGGTGAGCAAAGATCCCAGAACCACACGGGGGGACCTGGTGAATGACCTGCAGAGAGCTGGGACCAAAGTAACAAAGGTCACCATCAGTAACACACTACAACGGCAGGGAATCAAATCCCGCAGTGCCAGACGTGTTCCGCTGCTGAAGCCAGTGCATGTCCAGGCCCGTCTGAAGTTTGCCAGAGAGCACATGGATGATACAGCAGAGGATTGGGAGAATGTCATGTGGTCAGATGAAACCAAAGTAGAACTTTTTGGTATAAACTCAACTCGTCGTGTTTGGAGGAAGAAGAATACTGAGTTGCATCCCAAGAACACCATACCTACTGTGAAGCATGGGGGTGGAAACATCATGCTATGGGGCTGTTTTTCTGCCAAGGGGACAGGACGACTGATCCGTGTTAAGGACAGAATGAATGGGGCCATGTATCGTGAGATTTCGAGCCAAAACCTCCTTCCATCAGTGAGAACTTTGAAGATGAAACGAGGCTGGGTCTTCCAACATGACAATGATCCAAAACACACCGCCCGGGCAACAAAGGAGTGGCTCCGTAAGAAGCATTTGAAAGTCCTGGAGTGGCCTAGCCAGTCTCCAGACCTCAACCCCATAGAAAATCTGTGGCGGGAGTTGAAAGTCCGTGTTGCTCGGCGACAGCCCCAAAACATCACTGCTCTCGAGAAGATCTGCATGGAGGAATGGGCCAAAATACCAGCTACTGTGTGTGCAAACCTGGTAAAGACCTATAGTAAACGTTTGACCTCTGTTATTGCCAACAAAGGTTATGTTACAAAGTATTGAGTTGTATTTTTGTTATTGACCAAATACTTATTTTCCACCCTGATTGACGAATAAATTCTTTACAAATCCTACCATGTGAATTCATGGATTTTTTTTTTTTTTTTTTTTTTCACATTCTGTCTCTCACAGTTGAAGTGTACCTCTGGTGCAAATTACTGACCTCTGTCATCATTTTAGGTGGGGGAACTTGCACAATCGGTGGCTGACTAAATACTTTTTTGCCCCACTGTATGTTAATGGTGTTGGGGATATTTTCTTGTTACACTTGGGGCCCCTTAGTACCAGGTCCATGGTTTTGTGATGAAGGTGTATCTTTTGCTGGCTTTGTCCACCGTGTCACATCATCTTAAACTGGTTTTGTGAACATGATAATGAGTTTACTGCACTCAAATAACCTCCACAGTCATCAGATCCCAGTCCAGTTTAGCACCTTTGGGATGTGAAGGAATGGAATATTCACAGCTAAACATTCTTGAGCAACTGTGCAATGCTATCATGTTTGCAGCACACTGATAAACTATGCCATGAAGAATTAAGGCATATCTAAAGGAAAAAGGGAGTCTAAACCAGTATTAGCCAACTGTACCTAACAAAGTGACCAGTGGGTGTGTATACAGTATACTGTAACTGTTTTTAACTTCTGGCACATGTGACTTCCATTGTGCATCAAGCACAAGCACCCTACTGTGCAAAATGTAAGTGCTCTACAAAAATGAATAAATAAAATCAGCAAGAGTGAGAGTGGTTCATGAGCATTTTGTTCAGGGAATAGTTTTGTGCATTAGTAAGTCAGAAAATGTTAGGCATATTGAATACTTCTGTTCATGATTAATAGTCCTCAGTACTGAAATACTGGATGAATTATAATGTAGCAATCACACAAGTTTCGTAAATATCTAAATACTTCAAGCTCATGGTCTGTTTGGTGAAACTGCATAATGTTTTGTTGTTGTTGTTTTACCAGCACACCAGCACTGCCTGTTTTATACAACTTTTGGTTGGAGGTATGCTCATTCATTGCACCTGAAGCTTAACTTAATTTTTTTTTTTTTTTTTTGCAAGGCCTCTTTCCCCCACTCACTCACTACTACCAATTTAAATGTTATATATCAACATGTTCTGCTAACTTCACCACCAGTCCTATGCCTTAACTGTAGATTAAGCAGTATTTTTATGTTGCCATCATTTGACCCTAACAATCAGCTCACACAGGTGAAAAAGAGTACCCAGGTGCCATTAATCAACAAGCCCTTCCCTGCTCCTATAAAAGGAGTATCCTGTCCATTCAGTGGACAGCTGCTGTTTTACAAGTACTGGTGAGTGTTTAGCTGTGAATTAAATGTTGGTGTTTGGGCTCCTCCTCGCCCCCTCTCAAGTGGCATAATCTAATTTGATAAACTGTGCATTTGAAGATTATAGTAACTCTAGTGTCCACACATGTTGCTACCTTTGTTTCAAACAGCATCTCATGCACCACTGCTGAATATTAATTTGACTTAAAACTCACTGAATTCTCTTCTTGGTCATTTTAGTTACTGGTCTTCTTCAAACTTGGGTTCAAGATGTCTGGCCGGGGAAAGAAGGCTGCACCCAAACCAAAATCTGCAGTTTCCCGGTCTTCCAGAGCTGGAACTAGTTTCCCAGTGGGCCGCATTCACAGGTTGCTCAGGAAAGGCAACTACGCTCAGCGGATTGGAGTTGGCGCCTCTGTGTACATGTGTTCTGTCCTGGAGTATCTCTGTGCTGAACTCCTGGAGCTGGCGGGAAACGCCAGCCGTGACAACAAGAAGTCACGCATTGCTCCCCGGCACATCTTGCTGGCAGTGAAAAATGATGACGAAATCAACAAGCTGCTGGCAGGGGTCACAATCTCAGATGGTGGTGTGATCCCAAATATCCAGGCAAGCCTCCTGCCGAAGAAGACAAAAACACCAAAGGATGACAAATCTGCTAAAGATGTCCAGTCACAAGAGTTTTAATTATAAATGGTACCACTTTCAGAAAGGGTTTTAATGATAATAAAGTGAGTTTCTAAATTATGCTTGTCTTCAAACTTTTTGAGCTATCCAACTGGAAGTAGTACTGATTGTGTGGGGTGTTTTTGTTTGTTAAAACCTTGACAGCCAGGGAACCAGATGTCTTGATGGCAGCTGGATAGAGTAGTGCAAATTTCTCTGAATGCTAAGGAAGTGTGCTTCATTTCCTACTTCCCGTAGCCAAGAAGGGTTCATCCTCTGAACAAAAGGGACCTTACTCGTACTCTGCCGTGTACAGCGTACTGATTTAGCTCCTCCACAGGACCTCTGGAAGTCTTGCAAAATAAGTTTCAACACTACATTCTTGGATGTCTTTTAGCTTAACACTACTCAGGTTTTGTGAAATACTCAGACAACCGTGACAGTTTTACCCAGCATCTTTTCATGGTGGGGTATGTCAAAAGGGACACCTACCTAGTTTACAAGTCCAGGTGAAGGTTGGAATAAATCATCTAAATTAGAAACCTGGTGTGTAAAATTAGCCTTGATGACTACACATGAAGTGAGTGTGGATGAATTATTTCATAATTGCTTCCTGCTAAGATCTGGGGTTCAAGGCTCACTCACCGTTCACTTCACAGTTCATTATAGTTAACCTAGAAATAACCAGAATGGTGATTAGACTAAGTCATTAGTGCATCTGCTGGACGATGGTATTCCTAAATGACTGTTTCCTGGTGTAGTTTGGTGTGTTTGTGCTGTACATGTTGTGGGCTAAATTCTTGCCCCAGAAACTAAACTCTCCTTAAAAAATACAAAAAACTGACTGCCTGTCGACATCCCTGTTGATTGCAGATAGTATGTTGGGCTGGCTGACATAAAACAAAGTACTCCCACGTTCCCTTGAATCAAGATTCTCAGTATCCTTGAGTTTTTCCTGTCTACTAACTTCAAGGAATCCTTGCATTTGTATAGTTTGAAATGGAAGGGAAAACAATATATGCACTATTAAAAAAAATCAAACATTCTATTTGGATGGGAATTTTTAAGCAAAACACTCGTTAACAAGACGTGAGGATTTTCCACTCAAACTTTAAAATATTGTCGTTTTGCAGCCCTCTATAGACACAGACGTTATACACGTGCTGCTCTTGTAACGTTGCGTCTGTTGGACGTACCCTAACGACGTGCTGACGTAAGACGTGTGAACAACAAACAGTTGTTGGACTTCAACAAGCTAGCGAAGGATAACGCTAGAGGAGAACAGGTTGAGCCTGCCTTTTCACGGAGAGAGAGGCGCTTACGAAATCCGGGCGGTCGGAATATTTTATACATTAACTCCTAATAACTAACAGCGTAGGTACCGGCACGTGTAACCCGGCACAGTTCCCTCGTGCTAATGTTAGCAACACAAACACGCTCATTGCTGCTCGGAGTGTGACGCCTGTTTTTTTCCTGGCTGCCGCTGGTCGAGGGCTGTGATGCGAGCAGAGTTGCTGCACGGCAGAGGGTGAGACGGAGCTACAGTCGGATTATATTCGTCTTGACACGGAAAATGGACTTTCTCGGGGAGAAACAGACGGGGTCACGCAAAAAAGCGGGCATGCGACCGCACACGGGCCTGGATGTCATTGTTGGTCAACAACTTTAGCCCGCTAGCGAACGTTAGCTTGCTTTAATTCATGCAGATGAATTGGGTTTGTTGTCGGGCAGTAATCTCACTTTGCTAGCGTAATGGAGGCACCCTGAGTGACTTGTTTGTTTCAATTGATTGTCCTGCTCTTCTTAAATACTACTGGCAATGTGTTGAAGACCGGGGAGCCTTTCGTCGAATAATAGGACACGGTTGGTAAGAATTATTGAATTGTATACCTGCCCGAGTCATAGTTGAGCGAAGTTCTCTACGACTATGAATTATTACTGTAACAGTATCTATTTCACGCAGGTATAGCATATTTCTATTATTGATAGTTGTGTGAAATTGCACTTTATTTGGCCGATTTTTAAGTATGCACTGCAGCCACCTTTGAATTGGGGTTTATCGACATCTATTCAATCACCCCCTGATGTAAAAAAAATCAGCACTTGTATAGAAGTTGGTAAATAAAACGTCAAGATAGGTATTTATCTGCGTGTATTGTTATGAGCCAGGGCAAAGGCAGCCTTATCCATGTCATTTGGTTCCTAGTCACTGTTTAACCCGAGATCCCAGCTGTTCGGCACAGTTAAAGGCTGAGTTTTACTGGAAATGAAAGCATGAATATCGAAGAGCAGTGTCTAGATTTGTGCAATGTCAAGATGAAAAACAACGTGGACGATGATCACAACACTACTAACAATACAGAAGGGGTTATCCCTCGGATCTCCGAATTGATGACTGACAGCAACACAGAAAAACAAAGCATTGTTCCTACGGAGGCCTCTGAAACTTACCTGATGCCTCAGCTCACTGACAACCTTCAGACAGCAGAGGAGAACAACCAGCAGGCACAAAACACAGTGGAAATTGATGAGGTCAATGGAAATGGAAAGAATAGTGCCCAGGACCCACCAGCGGTCGTGAACCCGACTGATTTTATCTTTTCTACTAGTGAGCAGCACGAGGAGAAAATGAAGGAAGATAAGGACAATAATCCTGCAAAGCTTGTTCTTGAAGAAGGGGATTATGGTGGGGACATGGACATAGGTGTGGATCTGAGTCTCGATGAGAGTGGGGTGCTGGAGGCTGAATCTGTAAATGTTAGATCACTGTCAGACAGTAATTTAGACTCAGTGTCCACTCCTCAGGATGTCCCAGCTGGCAGCACGACAGAAAGCCAGGCTGATGCAAGCCAGACATGCAGCATAGAAGCTTCTGCCACAGATCCAGCTGGATTGTATCCCTCAGTGCAAGAGGGGGACACTAAACACAAAAGTGGCAAAAGGGTGACATTTCCCTCTGATGAGGATATCATCTCTGGAGCAGTGGAGCCAAAGGACCCCTGGAGACATGGTAATTTTTGTTTATTTTTTTTCTACATGTTTGAATGTGTGATTGAGTTAGTTCTGCGTGTCTGTTGCGCCTGCATGAACATGTCAGCATACTGTGGTTTGCTGGAATTTATTCTTAGAAGGCTTTTTAACAGAATTTGTCCCTCAGCTCCATATGGAGCAGTTGACTCTGTCCACATGTCCTGTCATGCTGCTAAATTTCCCACATATTCTTCAACATTATCGAGTAGATGTTGACACTGATGTATGGAAGGCGTGCCAGAGCACCGGTCTTAGAGAGGAATGTTTGTTTTGTTCCTTTCTTCAAAGCCTGACAACTCTTGCAGGTTCACACTGCTGTCTGTTTAATGCTTAGGCAACACCTGCAATCCCGCCCCATTTTCAAACTAGAAGATCAGTACTTTAATTACTTGTATAACTAAACGGCTTTATCTGGCTTTACCCCCACAGAGGCGTACCATATACAGTATAGACAAGGGTATGTACTGTATGCACTATTGTGACGGAGTCCCACCACACCTTGAGGTGTGCCATTTTTACCACAGCAGGTTCCTGTTTACCCAGTGAAAACATGTTTAGGGAAGCTAATGAAGGACACGACGCCACCTATTGCACCACCTTTAAATATTTTAGTGTTGAAAGTTACAAGGAAATATGTTTTCGCTTTTTATTGTCCATATGTGATATGGATATACAATGTAATATACAATAAATGTAATGTTATGCTCATTTATTTTAACTGAAGTACTCGTTTCAATTTATTGCTGTTAACTATTCCATGTATTACCAGGTCTAATTTGCAGTCTAGTTCTTTTTATACATATTTGTACAGTGCAGGTTTTTTTTTTCCTCTTTTCATTTAAAAAAAATTCTATCATGAACTAACCATGACTCACACACTTTTTCATCTGCTGTGGACAAAGGATGCCGTTTAATAAACAGACCTACAAGCTGGTGTTTGCTCCCAGCACTGATGGCATTTGGCATAGTTACACAGGTGACTGCCTCCTGAGAAGATGACAAATTGTGTTAAGCTTACTACTAGCCTTACGATCTCAGTTTGTTTGTGCCATATTCACATACACTTAAAGGCTAAGCTGGTGACTATCCTATTTATTTTTCCCTGCAAAAATGTAGGCCAGACCAAGCAACGGTTGGTGATCCGAGAAGGGAGGGGGGGGGGTAACAAAAGCAGAAAAACAGGAAGCTTACTGAGCACAAACATTACTGTCTCGTATTCAGCTGTATTTTAATTGTTTTATTAACACCCCGGTTGCAATTTATCAGGAAGCCACCCAGAAAGTCAGTTTTCTATCACAACATTCATGTCCCAGTGTTACCATTGATTTGATCAGTTTAAAACAATTTGCAGATTTCTTGCACCCATTTCCATGACAGGTTTAATTTAGATGTGTTGATATTTTTTTTAAGATAATTTCTTTCTTTTTCCTCCTTTTTGCCAGGCAATCGTGCTGATTGTTAACTGGTCATGGATATCTTATGCTGGACTCCATCAGGGCAAGGTCCCACCCAGTTAGCCAAGTTTTTTGTACCTTGATGAAAGATACAATGCACAGTAAAGTATCTAGATCACTCTAGTGTGGGGTTGACTTTTTATCAAAGACAGTTATCATGTACTTTAGGTAGGTTCCAAAGGTCCAGCTGATTGTGCTTTTGATTTAGACATGGACAAGCACTCGAGGTTAGTGAAGACCTGTTGGAAGTGATTGGACTGAAGAGTTGGAGCAGTGGACTCTTAAACAAAATGTGATAATCAGTGATAATGATAATTATCTTGTATATAATTGCTGTTGAAAAAGACTGAAAAATTGTTTAAGACTGTCACATGTGGATTTTATTATTTTCATTTTTCATACATGCCATATACAACAGCACGCATCAACCCGCACTTTTGGGAAGTTTAAATTTTAGTGTCACGTTTTATGACATTTGAAGGACATTTGAGCAGGATTGAGAAAGCACTCAGCAAAAAAATAATTAAAAATGAATCAATTCTCAGTGGCTTTTGTAGATATAAACCACATTTTTGTGCTTTTAGTTTTTGTGAAGTTTCTGTACAGAAATGGTTTGTTTTTGTTAATTTTGTCCTGTTGTTTTAGCCATAGGGGGTATTATTTCATGCCAGCACATAAATTTGTCAATGTTGCAGTAGTTTAGTTAATATAAAGAGCAGTTTAAATTTATGAAAATGCTCCCTTAGACACGTTCTGCTGTCCCAGTGTGATATGAACTGTGGATGCATTATCCTGCTCAAGACCCACAGGGCACACTTTGAGGATTGTGGTTGTAAGTCAACTCACAAGATGACAAGCTTTTAGATCTGCCCATTTTCTTTGGTTGACGTGACAGACACTACTGCATAGTAATGTTGATGCTGGTAGTGATAGTGAACACCTGGTGATTTTGAAGAGTTACCGTGATGAGCACTCAGAAGGGTGCTGGACTAACTTTTACATTGGTTGCACTTATGTGCTTTTTCATTTATCTGCCATATGGTGTTAGTGCACCCCAGAAATATATTCATCAAATTATTGCCTTTTGGCAATAATTTGTGTAACCGTTGGCCTTCTGTATTTTAGTGTTATGAAGAGGGTGCTGTAACACACTCTGATTTCATGGAGGAGATTTCTGTTCATTCTTCCAAAACTAATGAGAATTGACCATGTAATAACCTCCTAGCTACTCCCCACATGTAAAGGCTGAGATTATGTGTATGAGGCAGCAGCAGGAGCGACTTGTGGTTTACTGCTGAATGGTCTACATACTTGTGGTGTTCCCACACTACAAGTAACCTGACAACCCCCCTAATTTTATTTACACAACAGTGTATACGTATGGAGCTCTTACTGTGTGACAGCAGGAAATAACAAGAGTTAGGAAAGCAAATTCTAAAGGAAAAAATTTGCAGAATGTAATAACATAAAGTGCATGAAGGACATAAAAACTAAAAGATAGACTTTGAAATGTATCGTTGTTTCAGAAAAGGCAGGTAGTGAAATATGCCCAGCCAGACTAAATGATCTCCTTTTACTCATTGAACTGAAGCTGGGAGCAAATACAAGTAAATTACCAGAAAGGCACCCTCTTTAAATATTTTCACACTATTTTTCTTCGTTATTGCCAAAAAGCCTGCCAGTATTCAGTTTAATTAATATTTTTTTAAGCGTTAGTCCTGCTTCTCATATCTTCCTGAGGTATCTTATCTGAATGTCAACAAAGGCTCCTCAGGCACTGTTAGTAGCGTGCACAGTGTCACAATAGAGCCACTGTCCGCCCGGACCCTTCTACAGATCTAGTGTCAGGTTCACTGGGTTCCTGTCTTATTTCATCTGTCATAAAGATAAAAGTGAAATGAGCTCACAGAGCCTGGAGCTTCATCTGTAAGCAGTGAGAGTTACAGCTGTAAAAGCAGAGGGAAGGACATTTGAGGTTGGTGTTGAATATTACAAAAGGAACTGATATCTGGTTTACTACTGCCAGAAAGTAAACTTGTGAAAGGAGTGAACATCATGCAGTCAATGTGAAATGTGCTCTTGGGGTTCTCAGGGGCTGATGTCACTTTTCACTTTCTTGTGGCACTTCAGCTTTTAGAATTAACCCAAAAGGAGAAAAATAAGGAAAAAAAAAGAAAAAAGAATTAACCCAAAAGTATCGACATTCACCATTTAGAGCTAATGCTGTGATAGAGTGCTAAAATAGGGCTGTGTGTGACTCATATTTTCAATGAAGGCTTCCATGTCTTCAGTATTTTTTTTATTTTATTTTTTATTTTTGTGTGTGCGATGATTCTCTTATTTTGCCACCTCTTTCCATTATGGCGACACACCTCCATCCTTCCCTCAAAGCCCAAAGTCACTTCCCGCCAGGCTGTGACTGGTCTATTTCAAGCCAAGACAGGAGAATAAAACTAAATGAGCTTCTTGGAAACACTTTGATTTCAAGGAGTTTGCTGAGGGACAGCAAAGCCGTGATGTTTTAAAAGTAAAATATAGTCATTATGAGTTTTAATGTAAACATGTCTACTCAGAAACTTCATTTTGTTGACAGTGTCTGAAACAAAATAAAGGAAGTTGTAAAATATATAATTATCATTTTGTTCTGAGTTGAGTAATATTCCTAGAACTGTTTTTTTTCCCCCCCCTTTTTGTCTTGCTCAGTTAAGACCCGAGGGATGTTTGTACTCTCCATTAAGGCCTGAGCAAATACTACATCATATCTTGAGATTTCTGAACTTCCCAGCATGATGCATAGCTTCCCCACCTTCCTCCATTTCTGCCTGTCTATTCTCTATTCTCTTTTTTGACTAGCTAGATTAGCTTAAGTGCAGGCGGCCTTTTCAGCAATGCATTGTGAACACAAAGCACTAGGTCACATTGGAAGCATATGGTCTAAGATGGTTCAGTCGCTGTGACTTGCGATATTACTAAACAAGTTCTAAATTTTAACTCTTACTATTACAGCACAACTGTAGAGGTACAGTTCTAGACTGGCTACCACAAGGGAAATTTGTAACAGCCTTATTATAATTCAGCTGTGAAATTAAGTTAAAGTTTGCTAATTGCAATACAGTCAATAAACAATGCAGGTAATGTACAATTGATTATCCTGGAAGCAATTAAACTCTTTAGCCTACGTGTTGTTCGGTGTCAGACCTAAGGCCCACTTGGCACCATATTATTAGAGGCTCTGTGACCCATGAAATGTTATTTGTTGTGGCTCTAGACCAAGTTACAAACTAATAAGCAGAGCTTTCAGTGTAGAGCATGAACAAAGGCTCTGGAAACCTGCAAGTTAGTTCAGTTTACATGAGCAGCAGAGCTGAAGTTTTAACAACTAAATTCTTTTTCTGATCCAAACGTAACACTTTGTAATAATTGGACTGTGTGATAACAGTGTTTTTATATCTTGTGATGTGCCAAATTTGTTTAGTTAGGTGTGCAGATGTACTTTTTCATTCTGTTGGAAGCAAATAGCTGTGAA